GGTGATTTCTGTTATCATTTATCATTTAAAAAGGAGTCAAACAACTATGTGATAATAAATGGCTTCACATGATCACTATCCTTACAGGATAAGCTCAGCTTTAGTAACATGCATACCCCGATGTGACAACCATAAATTTTTCAAAAATGTGACCACGCTTGGCTCCGCCCACCCGGCTGCGTCACTCATTCACGGTGTTATGTGAATGAGAAAACTACAAGTCCCAGCAGCTTTTGCAGCTGTCGACTCGAAGTTGCTCACAGTAGTTCATTGAGTCTTCTTGCCAGTAAGTATCGGCTTCCCCGTAGGAAGCAGATTCACTGACAGGTCTGCAGGAGAGCTGCATGGCACCAGCGATCTGCTTATCGCTGGTGCAAGGCTCCCCCCAATAAATGCAAATGTTTTTCTTTCCTGCAAAAAAATGTGCATTCATTTTTTGTTGAAAAGTGAACTTAAAATAGAAGACGTTTTTTTTTTTTTTGCATGATTGGTCATATTTTCAATATCAACGCCAAACTTTCACGATTTCTCTCAGAGGATGCAAATTTTTGAAAGCACAACTGTATTGTTGATTCAGCATATCATCCTGCTGGTATCCTGCACCCCCTGAACCCTCTCTTCGGTGGGAGAACTGCAAAAATGATTATTATTATTATTATTATACAGGATTTATGGCGCCAACAGTTTGCTCAGCACTTTACATTATAGTGGGAGACAATACAGGAACAATACAAGAGGGAAAGGAGAGCCCTGATCCTGGGAGCTTACAATCTAGGAGGGAGGGTTGAATGGTACAATAGGTAATAACTGTGGGGGATGGACTGGTAGGAGGAGTAGAAGATTCCAGTAGTAGCAGAGGGCGGGATAGGCTGCCCTGAAGAGATAGGTTTTCAGTGATCGCCTAAAGGTAAGTAGAGTCGGTGATAGTCTGATAGATTGGGGTAGGGAGTTCCAGAGGATGGGTGACGCCCTGGAGAAGTCTTGGAAAAAATGGTATAGGACCCTAGAGACGGGAGCCTGATCATTGTTAGAGGTTTGTCGGGGAGCTGTTGGACCTAAGTAAAGGGCAGGTGGCCACGGGACAGGTAGGAGAACCCAAGAATTACGAACGTTCCCCTCTAGAGCAGTCATCATCACCCCATAAAGGTCCTTGCTGTGACACTTTGTGTCGTAGGGTGACAACGCTTTGGCTCGTCTACTGCTATGTCCTGCCTGTAGATCACACTGTCACATGATCTCCTAAAGGAAACTACAAAAGGTAATACTGATACACATTGCCCAGGAAAATTACACCATTGTCACCATCTAAAGCGGACCTACCATAAGACTGGAAGAAGCACTCTATTGAAACCTCCCAACACCAAAGTCAAATCATCGCTAAGGGCCCAAGCTGTGGCTGTTTCCTCTTTATTTACACCCATTGGCGACTTTATTGGGTCCACCTGTTCAATTGCTTGGTAACACAAATTGCTAATCAGCCAATCACATGGCAGCAACTCAATGCATTTAGGCATCTAGACGTGGTGAAGACTACTTGCTTAAATGAGTATTTCAAAAACTGCTGATCTACTGGGATTTTCACACACAACCATCTCTAGGGTTTACAGAGAATGGTCAGAAAAAGAGAAAACAGCCAGCGAGCATCAGTTGTGTGGAGTAAAATGCCTTGTTGATGTCAGAGGAGAATTGGCATTAGATTTCAGCTGTGGCATTCAGATGGTAGGGTCAGAATTTGGAGCAAACAACATGAAAGCATGGATCCATCCTGCCATGTATCAATGGTTCAGGCTGGTGGTGGGGGTGTCATGGTGTGGTGGATCCATCCTGCCTTGTATCAACAGTTCAGGCTGGTGGTGGTGTCATGGATCCATCCTGCCTTGTATCAATGGTTCAGTCTGGTGGTGGTGGTGTCATGGTGTGGTGGATCCATCCTGCCTTGTATCAACAGTTCAGGCTGGTGGTGGTGTCATGGTGTGGTGGATCCATCCTGCCTTGTATCAATGGTTCAGTCTGGTGGTGGTGGTGGTGTCATGGTGTGGTGGATCCATCCTGCCTTGTATCAACAGTTCAGGCTGGTGGTGGTGGTGTCATGGTAGGGTGGATCCATCCTGCCTTGTATCAACGGTTCAGGCTGGTGGTGTCATGGTGTGGTGGATCCATCCTGCCTTGTAACAACGGTTCAGTCTGGTGGTGGTGGTGTCGTGGTGGATCCATCCTGCCTTGTATCAACGGTTCAGGCTGGTGGTGGGAGTGTCATGGTGTGGTGGATCCATCCTGCCTTGTATCAACAGTTCAGGCTGGTGCTGGTGGTGTCATGGTGTGGTGGATCCATTCTGCCTTGTATCAATGGTTCAGGCTGGAGGTGGTGGTGTCATGGATCCATCCTGCCTTGTATCAATGGTTCAGGCTGGTGGTGGTGGGGGTGTCATGGTGTGGTGGAGATTTTCATAGCACTAGCAAGATGGACCTAATAAAGCAGCTGGTGAGTGTATACCCAGCAACCTGGTCATTTAATAAACTAGGTATTAGGATGTCTGTAGATCACCATCTTCCATAGTAGGGGTAATCATGTCAGGCTGTCTCTGGGCAGACCTGTCAGCTCATCTTATATCGAGGAAGAACCTAAACTTATCACTCCCTTCTGATTGGTGCATTATTATGTGGCAGGAAGATTGTTCAACAATAGCCAGGTTCCTCTCCATGGGTGGATTGGCTGGATAATGCCAGTTCCCACCCTTCCCTTTTGCTGTGGTATGACCTATAATTGGAGGAAATGCCACTCACATTAGGTGGACAGTGATTTACTTAAAAGGGACAAAACCATTCAGATTGTCCCCTTATCTCTCCTGTCCAGTCTTCAAACCACCACTCCTTCCCTCCATCACTTTGTGCCCACCTCTACAACAGGGGGAAACCGTGCAGATCTTGGAGGACCTGGTGGTGGCAAACTTGGACTGCAGATATGTCTGCTTTATAGTGAGAGGAAGGTCTTGATGGGGCAGGTCTATGCAAAAGCCTAATTATTGGCCCTTCTAAGCCAGCTGACCCAAGTTCAAAGGCCAGGCAGTGCATTATGGTCATGGTTACTATTATCATGATGTGATAAAAGAGGAGTTGGTTATGTTACCATCTTATCCTTTCAGTTACCATGGTAATTTCACTGGCACGCAGGATACCCCACCAACACATGGCAGTGTCAATTGTGACCCTCATCCCTAGCAGTGTATGAAAATACCCTCACCCAAAAGAGCCAGACTTCCAGCAGGCAGTATGACAGTTACTTCTGCAGAACATTCACGCTGCAGTTTTTTTTTGACCTAACAATCCAATACAGCAGAACATATAGAACACAAGAATTATTCCAAAACTTCAACTGATCTTGGAGGGTTTTATTTTTAAATTGTTTCTTCATACCTCCAACTGGCAGAGAATGAAAAGATTGCGGTGCAAGTCCGTGTCACCTTCACCCTACGGCAATGTTACAGAAGAGATAGGTAAGGGGATAAGTAGCATGTGTTAGGGCCCCTTTAAGGAATACAGTTATTGGTCAGCTTTGCTCCAATTAGGTGAGGAAGTACGGAAGGGAGGGAGGTTCAAAAGGCAAAAGGTTCTAGAAGGAGCCCTGTGGTGACAGACCAAGGCGCGGCCATCTTGTCCTCTGCGGTGACAGACCAAGGCGCCATCTTGTCCTCTGCGGTGACAGACCAAGGCGCGGCCATCTTGTCCTCTGCGGTGACAGACCAAGGCGCGGCCATCTTGAATTTCCCAGATTTGATAGTACCTAATCTTAGTTCTGGTTGTCAGCTCAATAATCGGGCCACTTACCTCTCTGGAAATTCTATTCTAGAGATGTGAACAAAGCACTCCATGTACATTACATACTGTACTTCTGACCCCTGCACTATGTAAATTACACTCCTGACCCCTGCATCCAGAGAGGGGGCTCTTAAAAGGGCCTACTACTTTTCAGGGTACTTCTATTAGGGGTGGGTATGGCCAGCATGTCCTTTCAACTCTCTTCCCACTTCAGATTTGGCATGTCATGTGCCAAGCTGATGGAAGTAGTGACAGGCAACATCTCACTACTATCAGCTTGCAGTGACAGGAACCCTGCTTGTGGTGCCTCTTCCCTCACATGATACTTACGATGCCCCTCCTGCCCACCCCTAGTGATAGGCACCTCAGAGTTCCTGATGCAAGGAGTGAAATGTCTTTGTTCACTTCTCATTTATAAAAAAAATTACTGGATCATGTGCCATCACCCTTCCTGGTGTGTCCAATTGTCACCTACCTATAACAAATGCATGCACACATTTTGTGAGGGTGTCAAAACACAGTTTCAGTCATCACCCTCTTCTCCCATGGTCAGGAAATTAGGGTGATAGCCACTCTTTGACTGGGTAGAAAAGCCACTTTTTTTGACTGGGTAGAAAAATCAGAATGTTGGCTTTACAATCAGAGAGAGGAGAGAAAGAATTTACAGAAAAGACCAGCTTTATTATATACATCCTTCATAATATATCCACTTCACGTTCCTCAAAAAAAAAAATATGAATATCAGATATTAAATAAATCCATAATAAAATAAACTGATTTCATCACATCGTTTTTTGGCACCAAAACTGTAAAACGAGGAGAAAACAAAAAAAAATGTGCCAACACAATCATACGTGGCGCTCCAGGGGAAGGGGGAATCTCCGAGAGACAGACACTCAGTGCATGAAAGAAAGACTTTTCACAACCCTGTTGACTGAGAAGATTGGAGGGTTCTGATGAATTTCCATCCATAGGAGAAAAAAAAAAAAAAAAAAAAAAAAAAAAAGCCACAAGTTCATAGCAATAAAGAATCACGGTCTAATTATAATGGAGCGCCTTATTGGACATATGTAAAGTGCAATTCAAAGGCCGCACAGGGCCCAACGTAGTCATATTGCATTGACACCAATCCTCATCTTGAAATGTCATTTACATAATGTATAGGCTAGGCTGTCCTCAGCTGCTAGTGGATGGCACCGTGCTTGTCTATCTTGCAGTACAGGTACATGGACACCACCATTGCTGCCAGCTAAGGGAAACAGAAAAAAAAAAAACCATGTTAAATCTTGTACCGAGACCTGGATTCCACCCCAACTAGGCATACAGCTCATAGGGATCAATTTAAATGTGGGGCCACCAATGTACAGTAAAGCTCCCCCAGAGGCCCGCAAAGGATGGGGAAGATTATTGTGACCTGAGCTGCATTAGGAGTGTTGTGAGCCCTCAGCTGCCACATCTTCCCACTCCTGCTGCAGGACTCAAGTCTCCAAAGATTCCTCCCAATCATTGTTGTGAGGGCATTCCTTCCTATAGGGTCGTCCCTGTCGAGAACATAGTGTAAACTGACTGTACCCAAGTCAAATTGAAGGGTCAGCTTGGGTACAATCAGCCTGCCCATAGATGGGATTGAATCTCATCCAGTCCCTGCTGAACCAGCTGAGATTCACACCATCTGACCAGTTTTAGGGGAGCAGGCCCTAGATGCACAATATGGCCGCCTACAGTTGACAGAGTGGGAAACACCTCAGTATAGCAAAGTCTTCAAAGGGATCACATACCTAATCTGAACAGTGACCACCGACTCCCCTTTATAGAATATCTGACCTTTCTTGGATGAAAAATTCTTGTTTCTATCACTTGATGAAGAAAAGAAAGGAGGAGGGGGGGTGTGGAGGACAACAGAAAGTGAGGACATCACCCCCTTTTAGACAGCTGCCATCATATACAGTAGTTGTCCCAGTTGGACGATTTTGCCCTCTAATCCCATTCTGGGAACAGCTTCTGGATATCTCCCTCAGCTTCAGTGGAGAAAACTCTATGGAGGTTCTAACCCTACCTCAGCCCCACCCAAAACTAGAGAAGACATGGGACTCCAGAAAAAAAAATTAAACATATGCGACAAACTTACCTCCAAGGCACCAATTCCAGCTGCAACACCTCCCACAATGGCTGCATTTTTTCTTCAACAAGTCCAAAATCTGATTGAAACAGCCCTGAGGAGAGAAGACAAAGTTAGTCGTGAGATGGCCCTCTATGGAGAATTTAGAGATACGATACATGTGCTGGTGCCCGTCAAACTAATAGCAGAAGTTCAGTCAGTCATTCTACGTACGACTGAAAGACCAAAATTAAAAAAGAGGGAAACAAAAAAAACTTTTTTTTTTTATTTAGGGGAAGAGATAAAACATCTACCAGCCTGAAGTTTCAGTTGGGTCTAAATAACCTCTCAAAACCAGAAAATAGTGGATCTTACTGGGACTTTAGAGGTGTGGGCGAAATTCTCTGTACAGGAGGAGGTGGTGTTGAAATTGCAGCATGCTTCTGGGTAAACTCCTTTGTTCTTCACATAGTATGAATTGTTGAAATCTGTGTAGTTGTTGAGCCCGCAGCACTTTAACTGAAATGAAAAATAAGTGTGTGAACCAGGGCTGAGCTGTACATACAGGGGCAACATGTGGTCACACGGGGGTCACGCATGCTTCTTACATCCTTCATGGTGTTGTTCCAGCTCGAGGTAACATCTTGCTTGTCACCGTACTGAGTCTGCAGGACCGGAGTAAGGACAGACTGCAGGAAACTTTGTGCCTGGAGAATAGAAGGGTGGCTGTTAGAAGCGCACTTAGGGGAGATCAGCCAATCAGAGACCAAAAATCACCTTAAATCTTCCTATCACCAAAATTCTGACAATTTCCTCCAATACCACTTAAAACAAGAAGAGGAGTTGTCAGGCAAGAGAGATGTATTTGCCAACTATAGAACCCACTCCCCAATTCCTGGAACTTCCTGCAGCATTCATCACCTGACACCCCTAACCCCTCCCCCCTTTATAGAGAAAGAATTTGCTGAGATGAGAAGTGTCTAGAAGGTCCTTACCACAGAGGAATAGACGAGAGCTACGACAGCGCCTGCAATCTCTGCGATGAAGATGATCAGGACGATGGAGAAGAACTACAAGAGAAAGTTTGGTCAGTTCCTCTTCTATAAACACATAAAATATCCTGATGTCTGGGGCCAGCTCCCACCAAGATTCCCTAGGCTGAAGGACTCCACAGGCCAGATACGGCAAGGTCATCCATTCAAGGACTCCACAGGCCAGATACGGCAAGGTCATCCATTCAAGGACTCCACAGGCCAGATACGGCAAGGTCATCCATTCAAGGACTCCACAGGCCAGATACGGCAAGGTCATCCATTCAAGGACCCACAGGCCAGATACGGCAAGGTCATCCATTCTATGGAGATGGTAGGCATAGCCAGCTCACCATTAATAACGTAGACCCTGCCCCTACCACCAGCCCACCCATTACTCCCCACAACCACCTTGCCAATCTCACCATAATCAGCAGGCACTTGCTCTCTTTCTGGGCTCCGCAGCAGCCGAGGAATCCTAGGATGACCAGCAACGCTCCAATGGCAATCAGGAAATATCCAACGTTGACAAACTGGGAGGCAATACTATCCGCTCCAGATCCCAGTGTTCCAAATATCTTCAGGAAAGAGCTGCTGTCCACGCTGACCCAAATCCCTACTCCGAGCAGAGTTCCTCCAGCCAGCTAAAGAAAAGAGAAAAGAGGTCAGCCTATGAAGCCTTCCATGAATCTTCCAGGACAGAGATGGGAGGAAGGCTCCTTCCACCTTGTATGCTGCCCTGGAAGATTCCTGGGGAAAAAAAAAAAAAAACCATGATGTACCGTTAGCACATCCAGGAGGACGCCTTGAGGACTCCACCCTGAATTGGTCACACATTTTGCACTGCTCTCTCATAACACAATTCAGTAAACCGCCCTAAACCCTCAATTGTTCTTGTAAAATCAGAGACAGGCCACACTCAGAACACCTTCTTTAGAAATAAGAAGCGTCATCTCAGGAAGGCACCAAGCATAACATAACTCAGCAGATGAGCGCCACTTTCTCCACACACAATGGAAGGCCTGTACATTGTATAGTTATCTGCTCAATGGAAATATACCAAATTACAGGAACAAGGAAACAATGGAACACACCTCTTCAGAAATAGAACCAAACCAGTCAAACTACTCTCACTGTACAATAACCGGAGGGTTTAGGATTGTCAGTGGAGTGGGCCCTGAGAGCCTATAAAACCATAATATGGAAATTATTTTTCTTTAGACGTAAAGGTGTTCAAATATCTGGTAGTCCACACCGTCCGACGCCTCTCAGGAAACACAGTTTAATAATCCCAAGCAATGCAGGAGGTACAAGATGGTGACCACAGCCCTTTGGCTTCCAGTGGATCTGATGAATATCTGTCCACATATTACAGAGCTCCATTCGGCTATAGAGGAACCCAAAAAGTGTGTTTGGTACCTCCTCAGAGGGGGACTGAGGGCCACACACGGCAGAGAATATTGTACCTCCACATAGAGGGGGACAACCATTGCTGAGAATATTGTACCTCCATGTAGAGGGGCACTGAGGGCCACACACGGCAGAGAATATTGTACCTCCATGTAGAGGGGGACAAGCATTGCTGAGAATATTGTACCTCCATGTAGAGGGGCATCGAGGGCCACACATGGCAGAGAATATTGTACCTCCATGTAGAGGGGGACAACCATTGCTGAGAATATTGTACCTCCATGTAGAGGGGCACTGAGGGCCACACATGGCAGAGAATATTGTACCTCCATGTAGAGGGGGACAAGCATTGCTGAGAATATTGTACCTCCATGTAGAGGGGCACCGAGGGCCACACATGGCAGAGAATATTGTACCTCCATGTAGAGGGGGACAAGCATTGCTGAGAATATTGTACCTCCATGTAGAGGGGCACTGAGGGCCACACATGGCAGAGAATATTGTACCTCCATGTAGAAGGGCACTGAGGGCCACACTATTGTACCTCCATGTAGAGGGGGACTAGGGGCAACCACTGCTGAGAATATTGTACCTCCATGTAGAGGGGGACTGAGGACTGCACCCGTCTTAAGTATATTGTACTTCCACACAAAAGGGAGCCAAGGGGCATCTATGAATGGGATTATCGTACTTACATACATAGCTGGCCTTCGGATGACATGCAAGGCTGCATGAGGTTCCATCTGTGAAGGTTGCTCAGGTTCTGGTGATTATTTTTTTTTTAATAACTTACAGCTGGCATTGGCCAGTTAGTAGCCGACATTGTGAAGCACAAATTGCAATGTCTATGCTGAACTTGGTCTAAAACAGACACCAAGCTGCCCTGCTGGCCACCCGACTTCCATTGGAGGATCTCACAAACTAGGGAGACCACCAATGGTTACAAGAAGAGCTGGGAGGACGATGTATTTCATTGGGAGGATGTCATCCAATTTACAACCAACCCCTATAGAGAGGGACCAACAGACCCAACTAGACAGAGACACGAAGATTGTATACTCACAAAGATGGCCAGATTGAACAAGATCATCAGAACCTTGATGCAGGTGAAGCAGCTCATGGTTGCGTCTGGAAGGAGAAGGACAAAAACAGTTACAAGTCACCTCCTGCGATCCAACATTATCTGAATTATAGCCAAGGTAAAAAACTTTTACAGCAAAAACTCCCTTTGGGATAAGAAACCCCCATCACACAAACACATGCACTACAAGTTATTTTATAAAGGGGGGGGGGGGGTAAGAGTTAATGGTCACTTCCTCACAACACTGCAACCTAGAGGCTCTCTTGGTATACAGAGCTGCCCAAGAAATCCACTGTCTGTATTTGGTTTTCCAAGACATCTGCAAGCAGGGGCGGACTGACCATTTAGGCACTGCCCGAGGGCCCAGGGTCAGTAGGGGGCCCCATGAGATGCCCTTGGTACCTATCATAGGCTCTTTTTGGGTGTGGTTTGAGTGTGGGCAAGGATACAGGGGCCCCATGATTTCCTATTGCCCCTGTCTGCAAGTCAAAAAATTTGTGGTATCTCCTGTAATGGTTTCATTTTTGGAAAAAAATAATATCCTTTAGGCACCTTCTAAAAGGGAAGATATTCCAGCTAACCCACCACGACAAAACTGAGATTGCTCAGGTGCCGATGATAAAGGCTGACCCTCCCATTCAAGGGCTTCAAGAAAAAAAAAAAAAAAAAAGTCTGTCAAAGAAGTTGGGTTAAATCCTTGGAATATGTAATTATTAGGGGATAAAGACAAGTCGGTGAGGTCGGGTGAGAAACATCCTGATGTGTTCTGGATTTTCCAGGACATTCATTATCCAGGTACACACTGCGTCATGGAGATAAGAGTTTCTCCAACATGTTTGACTGGGTGGAGGCAGCTAGACACACATCAGCTCCAGTGTAATAATTAATCTTTCAGCTGCAGACCACTCACTCCTGACAAACACGTTCATTATCAACCACATATGCTGGAGGGTTGTTCTGGTAGAATCCTTCCAAATTTTCTGATCTAGAGGGGAGATCCTCCAAATCAGAAAAGTAGATACAGCAGGGGCAGACAGACAACTCATGGGGCCCCCAGGCAATAGGGGGATCATGGGACCCATGTCCTTACCCAAACTCAAAAAAGCCTATGAAAAAAAAAAAAAAAAAAAAAAAAAAAAAAAAAAAAAAAAAAAAAAAAAAAAAAAAGGTGTAGCAGGGGCATCTCATGGGGCCCCCTACTGACCCCGGGCAGTGCCCAAGTTTCCAAGTGGTCAGTCCACCCCTGCAATACAGCCAGCAGCAGGCGAGTCACAATAGGTGGCAAACAGGACACATGGGTGTTCACAAATACAATAGGAAACGTGGGGCCAGATTTGTTGGTATTTTCTATACAATCCACCAATCTCCCAAAGGATCCAAAGAATTCAAGAAATCTCCCAAGATATGTGAGAAATTCTTTCCAGCCCAGAATCTTACATGATTAACCCCCAAAAAAAACAGAAATCTGCAGCCATTCCACCTAGAAGGAACTTATCCAGTCAAGGAACCCCTCCCACAGCTCAGGCGGCAAGGAATCCCTCCAGCAGCAAAGGAGGAGATTTTGGCAGACAGCATTCCTTTCACTCCAACAGCTAAAAATAAAAATCTGAGAATATTCATGGCGCCACCAACTTCTATAGAGGAGGCCAGGAACAAGGCATTTCCTGGCACTGTCACGTTACCACACCACGTTCAACGGTCATCAGTCAGGACTTTAGGGGAATCCACTGATCCTCTGACCTGACACTCACAATGCTCAGATATCAATGGTCCCTCTGTTGATCCCCCCCCCAGGCTGTGGCTTGTTCTCATGGACTGTACTGAGGAAAAGAAAGCCGACCATGACAGACAGAACCCACACAGACCAATTCTGTACAACATGGACAGATCAATACAGAAGAAGAACCACGGTTTCCCAAATGGGCAGACTAGGTATGAGACAAAAGCAGCTTTGGGGGGGGGGGGGGGAGGGGGGGGGGGGGGGGGGGCGGGGGGGGGGGGGGGGGGGGGGGGGGGGGGGGGGGGGGGGGGGGAGAATCTCATATATATATATATATATATATTTTTTTTTTTCCCCTTTTTTGCTTATTTAAAATATATTCCAGTTTTGTTTCTTTTATTCCTTCAAACCTTTCCCTAAATCTGACAAATCCCGCTTTGATCAGTGTATTTCACAGTGCAGGGAGGGGCACTGCACAGGACACTGCTCACCTCCACCCCACTGTGTACACAACACACAATACATACAATACCAGATACAAAGATAAGATAAAACATCCACTCCCTCCTGCAACTCAGGGGAGGCAAATCTACCACCCCAACCAGTAGAGGACATAGACACCTCCAAGGAGAAAAGGACCCAAATGGGGACCACCTCCAGGTAACATGAGCCCCAGTTAAGACACCTCCAAGGAACAGGGACCCTAGTGGGGACTCCTCCAGGGAACAGGGACCCTAGGGAAGACACCTCCAGGGAACAGGGACCCCTCCAAGGAGCAGAGAACCAGTGGGTACCCCTCTAGGTAAAACATAC